AACTAAGGAAATTAAATCTATTGGTTATCCAAACCTTGTAACATGTTAGATACCCTCCCTTTCCAAAACGACTTCTTTCCTTCTATTTACCTTGCTTTTGATGGCCTTGTGGATTTTCTACACAGTATATTAAATTTGGTGAAATTAAATCTCTCAACTAGCTACATTGATACTGCAGAAAATGGAGCAGGAGAAGCTTGAGAAGATAGCCCAAAAGGTAATGATTCCTGTAATCTAAGTGGTTGAAACTACAAATAGCGTATTTAAGTGAAGCTTTCTGCTAAGAGAAAAGAGAAAATTTACAGTCTTGTGGTCGAAACATTTGATGAACTACTAGGGTCCTGGAGAACAAGCAGGCACAGCAGGTGAAGCCAAGGCTAGTGGTGCATCATCGACTGAGTCAGGCCCAAAAGTGTCAGAAGACAAGCACAGAAACTACGCGGTTGTGGCAGGAGTGGTGACTGTTGTGGGTGCGATTGGTTGGTACATGAAATCAGGCGGAAAGAAGCAGCCCGAGGCTCAAGAGTGAGAGACGTGATCAATGGACTAGTGAGTGAATAAAATTGAGAGTGACACTCTTTCCCCTCTATGAGAAACATTGGAAGTGCTTACTCTCTTTTCTTTTGGTTTTGGTTTACCAAATCTTGGAGCAGTTTGTGAACCTTTAGTTTCGGAATCTTCAACTCCATATGCTCTTCCCATTCTGCTCTCTTTTGTTGATCCGGGTGTTCGACAATAAATTTATATGCAGTAAGAGGATCGGAAATTCTCGTTTATTGATAATAGCTCGGAAACAGGGTACAACGATTGGTATTGTGCGTGCTAGAAAGACTGTGTGTTGAGCTCGGAAGCTTAGATCGGCCGACGAACCTTGTGTTCGGTCGTCTGAGTATCGGAATAGGGTATGAGATCGTTGCTTTCAGGGTCGGAACTTGTAGTTGAAAACGAGATCGGGTTATGGGGGTTATCTGACTGAATGACCGAATGCCGAGGTCGGAACCCGTAGATAGATGCACTCGAGGTCGGGATATCAGTATGGTAAATTATGTTTTCTGATCAATCAGGCTTGATTAAGAGATTCTTTCCTTTTTGGTGTTAGAGAATAATTGCTCTTAAATTCTCTTGTACTTGTCTAAAAATTCAGAAGTGGGATTAACTCATGATGGAGGCCCCTATTTATACTAAAAGTAGAGTGAATATAGTATTAGGGTTTCCTTGGGACCAGTACAGAGCTTCTGTTCGCTGGGCCGAGTCCGTGGGTCATTCTGTCAGCTGGGCTTTTTTGGAAATGGGCTTCAAAGATGACAATATTTGAAGCCCGTGTCCAACATCTTTCATCAGGAATAGCTCGAATTTTTAGTGTGACATACTAATTCCAATCTCATGTGCCCATTTTCTTGAGTAAAATTTTCTCGAGATATTCAACGTGTAAAGATGACCGGACACAAAAGAAACAATATCTGAAATAGATGACAGATTTGAACCCATGTTTTTGTGTAAACACAAAAACACATCTCAAGTGACTAGACTGCATTTTAATTTCACTTTATTTCATGTCAAAAAATGTTTTAAGGAAAAAGTTAACTTACACCATCAGA